TCTCCATCCTTAGAGGTTTTTAAGGCAAGGCTTGACACAGCCTTGGCTGGGATGATTTAGTTGGTGTTGGTCCTGCTTTGAGCAGGGGGTTGGACTAAATGACCTCCTGAGGTCTCATCTAACCCAAATCTTCTATGATTCTCTGAAAGATTGGCTGCAACCTTCCTAAAACTAAGTGAAGTCAGGTCCAAACCTTTTCAGCAGTTATGGAGTGTAAACATGGGAGCCATTTAGGACCTATGATCCAAATGACCAGAATAAAATAAAATCTGAGCTGAACAGTTTGTTTTTTGCTGTGCTAACTATGTTTAGCTGCACTCATAGCGGACACCTGTTGTCACCAATGGGCACATTCCATAATGTAGACAGGAACATTGGGCCATGTTTAAAAGGTAGATCGATATACTCAGAGAGGATCTGTTTCTTCTGGAAAGCATCTAGCATGCTTTAGATGGTATATAATAATACAGTAGAACCTCAGAGTTACAAACACCTCAGATATGGAGGTTGTTCAGAACTCTAAAATATTCATAACACTCTGAACAAAACATTATGGTTATTCTTTGAAATCACTGACTTAATACAGTTTCAAAACTTTACTGTGCAGAAGAAAATGCCGCTTTAAACAAAACAAGCACAGAAACAGTTTCCTTGTCTTGTTAAATCATTTTTTAAAACTCCTTTTTTAAAGTAGTTTATGTTTAACACAGTACTATGCCATACTCACTTTTTTGTTTTGATTTTTGTGTCTGTGCTGCTGCCTGACTGCATGCTTCTGGTTACGAATGAGAAGTGTGGTTGACTCGTCAGTTTGTAACTCTGGGTTCATAACTCTGAGGTACTATTGTATGAAACAGCGTTCTTCTTCAGTGCTGACATGTTTTCATTTTTTCACTGTTCTTACATTCTCGCTGCAGCCAGCACAAGGATTATATATGGAGGGAGAACTATCCATTTGCTTCTAACTCTAGGAGGAAGGCTTTACCTATACTATAAAATACCATATGCATTTTCAGCACTACTGGAGCTACACTGGTGCTAACAATAATGCAAGTGTCTTTCCTCTTACCTGGCCAATAGAAGGGGAAATACAACCAGAAGGGCTGACAGGAAACATAACCTCTGCTTGGCCAGGAGAAATGGGATGGAGATGACAAGAGTTGTAGTCCCCGGCTTTAAAGATCCATCATAGCACTTTCTGAAAATCAGGTTATTTTAAGCTGTCTCCCACTCAATATACAAAAAAATCACTTGGCACCTTTGAAAATCTTGACCCAGAACTATCATCCATTGTAGCAGATTCCTGGTCTATTGCATGGTCTAAAAAAAGGAGCAACAATATAGTGTGTATTCCTCCTGGAGCTTTATCAAGTTGGAGCTTCAGCATTAGATAAAAATTACTGCAGTGTAATATTTACAGTACATGATGAAATTGTGCCAGCATCAGCAATAGCTCCTCTTATCTCAGATACCCAGAATATTATATAATGAAACAGAATCAATACACCTTCACATGAAACATGACTCCCTTAATAAAGATATGCCTTTAGAAAATAAGATTTTCAGGGCAGAGACTCTGCTATGTGCTTGGGACATTTCCCCCATACATTTAATGACATGTACTTCTGGTAACTGCTAGATAAATAATGTGGTTTTTGTTTTACTATATAGCATGCTAGTTAAGGCTGCTAAATGACAACACGCCTGCATATCGCATCAGTAACAAAGTGCAAGCTTCTGAAAACAAGGAAATGAACTATAAACAACACAAATCCTGAACTGCCCACCAAGTAAACACAACATGCATATGGACTACAATGAAAAGCATATTTTATCAAAACATAACTAACTTTGACCACTGAATTACTAATTTTAATATAATATTTTTATTGCAGTGGCAAAAAAAATGTTTTTTACAAGGTATTTTTAAGTGGAATACATTCTCAGCTAATACACGGCTAGGCTGGTACTCTTTAGGCACGTCCCAGAAAGGGTGGGGGTGGGGACACAATGCCCCAGAGAAAACACCAAGACATGCAGACTTAGAACTGGAATGCCTTCTGGAGCTTTCCATTGAACAGCGGGTATATACACACCACTACCTGTCAACGCTGGCTGGTATATGGGGGAACCAACACAGTCACAGATCTCCGTAATTCTCCACTCCTCACTGCCCTTCAAGGGTGGCGTACATCTCCATGGGAAGTAGCTAGGGTGCTATCTCCATGTGCTTTCTTGAGTATATGGCTTGGAATTCTGCCTGGCTCTTATGCTCCACTGAAGAGGTAACAAACATGTCACTTTAGTATCTGTGTCTTCCTCTAGCTCTAAGTCAGAATTGCAAACCATTGCACTATTAGAATGCCATGTAATATCAAAGGATCTTGAATTTTCTTCAGGCTTTGCTGAAACATTCACCTTTTGCTGCCAAAATAGGGCACTATAGCAGAGAAGCTGGTTTCAAACTTAACTATGGAAATACTGCCACATCTCCTTAATAGTATGGGTGCTGGAAAGACTGCAACACTGTGTGTTGGGTCTACACCAGTCCAGCCATTGGACACTGACATCAGCCCAGCACTAGGCAGCCATTCCCCTGTTTCAGGCTTCCCCCTCAACACGTTTCCTTGCTTAGGGTCATGCCATGATTATTTGTGTCCAGTTCAGTCATATCCAGCTGAAATCCCTTTTCTTTGACTCCACATAGCCATCTATAATAGACGTTCGCAAAAACTGAAAAAAAATCCCCAAGCCAAGCATATCGAGAGAAGCACTGCTGATAATGTTCAATGTACTCAAGACCTCATGCTGAACACTGTGCTGGGGACACACAAAAGATGACGACAGGAAGAACTGAGGTCTTACTAATCTTTCTCCCCTTCTCTAGTGGCATTTTTTGAGCTTATGGAGCTAGGAAGCATTTTATTATTTCTTTGCAGACGGCACCAAAAAGTCTGTACATTCTCTACCTAAGGGCTTATTATTGCTAGGAAGGGATTGCTGGTTTAGCTAGACCAGCAAAACAGTCTAGTATAGATGAAGCTTATATTAACTGCCAATTCCTTGAGCAAAATAGGCTACATCAGCAAAAGTAAAGTTGTGCTGGCATCACTAGGTCTTACCCTAGCACACAGGCGAGGAACCTTTTGGTTGGGGGCTGCTGACCTACAGAAAAATCAGTTGGGGGGGGGCACACAAACTGAGAAGCAAAACAACCCCAAACCAAACCAAACCAAACCAACACCTCACTGACATGGCCTCTGACTGAGAAGCAGAAAAACGTTCCCCACATACCTCTCATACACCAAATCCCAGGGGGGCCTGGGCTAGTAGATTTTGTGGGCCTCTCTAGGCTCTGGGTGGGGCAAAAAATGAGGGGTTCAGTGTGTGGGAGGGGCCTGCTGGGAAATGGGCTTGGGTTGTGAGGTCTGGGTGGGAGGGAGGGTGCAAGGTCTGGGGGATTGGGGTGGCAGGTCTGGGTGAGAGGTAGGGTGCAGGAGAGAAGTGCGGGTGCAGAGTCTGAGTGGGAAATAGGGTAAAGGAGTGGACTGGAGATGGCAGGGCTTGGTGGGAGTGGAGATCTGTGCAGGAGGGCGGTGCAGGAACAGGCTGAGGGTTGGAGGGTCTGGCAGGCCGGTAGGGTGCAAGAGTGGACTGGAGGTGGGGGGTTTGGGTAGGAGGGGGTCCAGGAGTAGGGTATGGGTGTAAGGGCACAGGCCTCAGGGATGCACTTGGCTCCATGTCCCCTGCCGCTCCCAGGCATAAATTCTGTTGCTCCGATTGGCTACGATTACGGCCAATTAGAGTGGCGGGGGAAAAAGCCTCCAGGCAGTGTTTTGCTGTGCTGCCATTTCCCCAGTTGAGAGGGGGGCGAGCAGCACCCATGGAGCTACTTTCTCGTGTTGCCAAACAGAGCCTGTGGGTCGGAACCAGCCCCGGTTTGCCTGACTCCATCTCATGAGACTCTTGGCTCCCCATCCTTGAAGTGGTGAGTCTGTGCTGGCGCTCCAGCCCCACGGGGGAGGGGAGACACAGGGCTGGAGCGCCAGCACAGGCTCCCCAATACAAGCTCAGCTCTGGATCCAGCCCCCACCCCTGCACATATACCAGCATATCTATGCTGGGAAAACATCACCTTCTTGACATAATTATGTCAGTATCCATTGTTTATGTAGCTCAGGCGTTAGTCTGTAGGAGACACTTTGATTTTGTAAAATTGTGTAATTCCCAGCAACTAGTTGCAGCTGTAAGGCACAGTAGGTGGGGGCAGATTTACTGTTCCCACTCCCTAGCAAATGGTAGTGAGAATTGCCAAACTGAGTATCCTGAAAGGGAAGTTAACATATCAATTATACAGCTGATGTTTTTTAAATTAATATCAGATCACTTGCAATCTGTTCTGATATAAACATCAGGTTGGAAGTGTTTTATCTGGGTTTATAATCGTATTTCTTCTTTGTTTTCCATAATGATTCTCTCTTCAACATTATTGGAAACAGCCCCTCATTATGGCTGAGTAGGCAACATGGTATGGGCTTGCTGTACAAAATCGCACTGTTCCAGTGGTGCCACAGTTCCTTCTGAAGCTGCCAAATGCAGGATCACTGGCTAACCCCTGTGTGTGTGGGGGGGGGGACCACAAAAAACTATAGGTGAAGGCTGCTTTCAAGCTACCCTCCAGCAGAATGCCCATGCCACGACTAGCCAGAATTAGGCCTGTGGCTGGTGTTTTTCAAACAGCTGTACAAAAGCTTGGGATGACAGCAAAACACTGCCTATGTCATCCATTCCCAGAGGGTTTACCCAAAGACAGTCCTGATCCAAATCTGTTACGCAAAGTAGCCGAAGCGCAGTGTGCTGGGTTCTAAATTCACTCAGTCATTACTGGAAAAAATAGGTGAAGTAAAAAGGAGGTTAGAACCCAGAAAGAAAAACAAGCGGCAAAGTGGGTCAGTGGTTAGAAACAAATAGCAAGCAGCAAGATCTTTAAGAGCTCTTACCTTGGGGCTAGCAGGGACACACGCTGGACTGATCAAGAGTAAAGAGCAACTGCTGGGCTTTCTCCTGCACTCTATTTTCCTGTGGATCTGTGGTTTTCTTTTTTCCTTTTACGCACTTCTCTCTCTCAGGTAAGTTGCAGAACAGGCTCTGCAGCAGGAAGTAGAACTTTTATGCAAATCACAAATCAGAAGTGGAAAGCCTCAGGCTGAAAACCTCTTCGAGGGGGAGTGAATCAGTAACAGAGGAAAGCTACTTTGAAGTTAAAAAGTCCCTTGAATTGTTCCTGTCCCAAGAAGTCAGGCTACTGTTCAAACTGAACAGATAAATAATTGCAGGGGAAACCCAATATGGTTTTCAAACATAATACACATAAGTGGAAGAAGTGTCTGATTTTTTTAAATACTAGAATGTACATTGTCAGTGCTAAGCTGTCTGCTCAAAAATCATGAGTCAGACCACCAAAATCATGAGAAATCAAAAGAGTGAATCACAACTCATGTGATTTAAAGGTGGGTTATTTTTGTATGCATTCTGATTCTTGAGTCTTGAACATTATGCTCAAGCAGCATTTTCCAGCTTCTCTCCACATCCATGACTAGGAACATTTGTTGTAAGTAATTAAAGGTGAAGTTCTCATGCACTCACAGCAGCTAGGACTTTAATTAAAACATTAAACAGTTGACAACATTTCATGATAGATTTTAGAATACCTTACAGTATCATCCAACTTGTCTTCTTTCCAGGCAGGGTTTTCATCACAGTATATTATCTAGTGCTTTCTCCAGTCTAGCTGACATGGCGGAGGGAAACTGACTTTTACCACTTCCCAGCGCAGCAGACCTCACTGTCAGGCCTGTTAGCCTACATTTTCTTCTCTTAGTTTCACCCCATTCCTCCTACTTATACTCCAAGGTGCCACATGGGTGTTTTCACCTTTTCAGTATTTGTAGGCTGCCATCAGGTTCCCCAGCCAAGCTATACATATATAGCTATTTCAAATCACCCCTTAGAAGTCAATTCCTCCTGAAGTTTGATGTTTTTATTGCTCTTTCCTGAACACCCTCTCATTTGATTACTATCTTGGTTAAGAGGTGCCTATAACTGAAAGTAATATTTCAGATGTGGCCGTAGCAGAGAGAAGGGAGGTAACAGAACCTGTTTCCCACTGCCTTAAGATGCCTCTGTGTATTTTCTGATCATACACTTTGTTACAATGACATGAAGTTTCCAAGCACATATTAGTGCTTTGAGTAAGCACTTACCTGCCGCTACTTCATAATACAACCCTTAAGTCAGGCAAGTCTTTCCTGTACCATGCCATGCCTAATTTACTGGTCTTTGTCACTCATCAGTCTGATTTGGCTTTACTGCTTCTAAAGTTTCTACCCTTATTTTGAAAGTGCTATGGCACTCTATAACAGTGTTTCTCAACTTTTTTTTATAAAGTACCCCTTTAAAAAAAGTATAAGTACCCCCCAGTACGTACAGTTTTCAGACACACCATTTCTTTTTTCTACCATTGCAACACATTTGCTTAAACAACTTAATTATAGCCAGGTGGGTGATGAAATTTTTGGGCGTAAAAAGTACAAAAATAATAAAGTGCTGTAAAACTTAAAACAAAAATTCAGTTTTCTCCAAATGTCAGTTGTGTTGATGTATCCCCCAGACATATCTCAAGTACCCTTAAGGGTACTCATACCATTGGTTGAGAAACACTACTCTACAATACAGGTTGAACCTCCCTAGTCTGGCACTCTCTGGTCTGGCAACATCAATAATTTTAGTTAGCTGGATGCCCATTTATCATGGGTGTGGCCAAGTTTCTTGTGGTCTCAAAGTTTGTTTACCAGTCCTGGCTCTCAGTGTTCTGTGCTGTTATTTAGCATTAAATTTACCCCTAAATGTCTTCTAAGAGCCCAATAAGCAGTGGAAGTGTTGGTAATACTGCTAGACAATATTGACCTCCCATAGTTTGGCAAATTCTCTGATTTAGCACCAGTCAGGTCCCTATGGTGCTGGACTGAGAGGTGAAAGCACTGTGCCTTCCACTAGCAGCACTGCAGTATTTTGGGCTGTTGCTGTAGAATACTGTAGCATGTTTCCTGGAGAACCTCACGCTGCAATCATCATTCACAAGAGTGGATGGGCT